CAAGAGTACACGTCGAAGACGACGTGTCCAGTGAAGAGGAAGACCAGGACGGTAGGCAAGAGTCGTGCATGACATCTACGATTTCAGAGGCCGAGGTTCGCTCTCGTCTCGAGGATGTCCGCTCCTATTTGTACGCGAACGGAAGAGACGGCGAGTACAGCGAAACGGTGTACCTTCTTTCGAAGACTGTGCATTCGTTCACTCATGAAACTCAAGTCAAGCGAAGAACGAAGGAGGGGGGTGAGGTGCAGGCGACTCTTCGGGATGTGTGGGCGACGTAGTTTTTGGTGTTTGAGGACAACACACTTGGCAGCCCACATTCATTGTTTGGGATTTTTTTGCCTTTCTCGTGGAGTTGAATTTTGGCATGTTTTGTTTTGGGTTTTCGCCTCGTGTTGACCTTTGGGGAAGAGCGGTGTTCTCTTTTCGGTGGGTTTGCCCGATTTTTAGTATGTTGTGGTCTGCGCTACCGACCTTTTCCTAGTGTCCCTCAGATCCCTCTAAGGGGTCGACTGGGTTGTTTGGTCCCTATGTGGCAGGTAACTTGCGTGTATCGTATCAGAGCTAGTTCCAACACACTGATGTGTCTCAGGTGTGTTCGCGATATCACGGGCATGAGTGATGTTCACCGTGAGGACAACGCCTTGACAATAAGAAAAGCCTACAACAACACCAGCGCACACTGCCGTACACATTACAATAGGTCGTGCTGTACTTCCCGCGTTTCGGTGGTGGAGGGAAATTCAAAAATGTGTACAGTATTGGAGTACAGCAGCAGTAGTGTTGCGGCCTTCAATTGACGTGTTATCGCAGTTTTTAAGCAGCACAATTTCGTGGTCGCATTCCTGCTTCAAATGCGCGCATTTTGACACATGTTACACCTCCATCGACCCCGGGGACGGTGAGTTAGTGGCCCCGGAATCCTAGAGACACTTCCCCGCGTTTAAGACACTCCAAAAAAAAAAACGCGTGTGTCTTTAAAGCGGGGTCGACTGTATTTTCTTTCTATCATTTTTTATTTTTATTTATTTTTTTCTTAAGTGCTTGCTGCTGATT